ACCAAGACCAGTAAATAGTGTTCTATAATACTTTGCCCGTACGTGCATGTACTTAATGAGGGCCTATTATGCATTTTCAAGCTTTAATGGGCAAATAATAAACTTATGGTTTAAATAAACCTTATAAGATAATAGCCCAAGTTCTACCATGGCTTTTTTCACAATACAGTGTCATTTGCCGTTTTCAGGCCACCTTTAGACTTAATACATTATCTCAGTCTAGCCTAGAATTTACCAACCATTTCCTGTAACATAAAGGAACTAGCTGCTACAGAATAAACTAAACATGGAAACTTTGTATTTTATATAACTTAACCAATACCTGAGTAATGAGACATGCCTCCTATTTCGGCAATAAGCATAACAAATGGAGATAGCAGTTTACCAGCTTCCTCGTCTTCACCTGGACTGATTGTGTAAGAGACCTGGGTTGTCCTTGTGATAGTTTTGGCGAGCACGTTATCTCTGTAAAAATGTCCCTCGTTCCCTACAGTTTAATATTCTCACAAACTTCCATCCTGTGCTTACCGGCCTCTGACGGGCAGAGTTGTATGCAACATTAGAACGGACTGAGCGGAGTCGGTGAAAGTTAAAAGCTGCCGAGGTGTGGATTTAGAGATAAGATTTGTAATCCTCACCCGCCCTATGCCGTTTTGGAATAAATTCGTGCGAAAAAGAGACTTATAGTATTAGTCCGTAGGTGTATATGGGTCGCCAACTCGATTGGGGTAAACAACGCAAACTGCGTATCCTAACAGCAGACAAACAGTCGTATAGACTAAATGTGGCATGCAGAATATCGAAGAAATAAGTAACTGCAGTGTTTTTTTAAATTGTAAAAGGTTACGCTGTAAGTGCACGCCAAAGTGCGCGAAACTGAACCATAAAAATCAGTGCAGTTGTAGTAGCTCACCAATCTTGTAAAAATACCAAGTATTGCTACATTGGAGTTGGGCTACCACCATCTAATGACGGCCAATGAGGCAGAAGAGGCCTTCTTGGTGTGCTCTGCGTTTGTCTGTTAAATACCATTATTTTAAATGTGTTTTCTACGACAATTTTTATTTTAAGCATATTTTCCTTGGCGTGAATTGAAGCAGGCAAGGATTACGGAATTTGATTGAACTAATCAATTTCGCGAGTGCTCTTCAGCTGCGGCGGCCTCTCGCTGCATAACTCGAATTACCTATGAGAGAATACAAAACTTGAATTTGTACAAAAGAATCTGTGCAAATAGCAAGGTTTCCATGTCGGCTAATCAATAATGTATGCAAGTTAAACCAAAGTTGGAAGCTAAATTGGGCAGGAAAAAGTTTAAAGCAGAAAAATTGCGCAGGAAAACGTGTAAACCAGGGACGTTGATGTTACCACGACAGAGTTAGCTTTACCATTTCCTAAACCTTTTTAACGTAGATCGGGTTTTAACCACCGTATAGAGGCTGCCTCCAGACAGCGCAATGCACGAGTTATTCGTGCACAAACCAGTACTCAGACCAATGTTCTGGGGACCACAGAGTGACCCGTATTAAGCATGTTTTGAGTAACCAATGAACGTGGAATTCTACTTTCCAGTACTAGTAGCAACCTGGGTAGGTGCTCTATTGATGTAGATTTCAACTGCTTTGAGTTCGTCCTACGCATGTAAATTCAAAAACAGTGGCGTGCACTGGCAAGACATTATTTGCGCGTGGAACTAGAAGAGGCTTTGAAGGACAGCTAAAGCAGCGTTCTGTGTCCTTTCAATTAAACTGCTAACGCGACGCCTACGTAAATGCAGAATGTGGGCATTTTGTTGACTTTGAGGCAAGCATTCTCCACCCTAATTAGAAAACGGCACATTGGACTGAATCGCATTGAGGTGACCAAATCATATCATATGTCATCTATATAGAGAACCAAC